AGGGGGCGGGGTCAACGCTCGCAATGGCTGGCTCCGGCCGCCTGGAGGTGGGCCTGCTCTGGGCCGGCCTCCGTATCACCATGGCAGCAGGAATGCGGCCACCACGCCAGAGCGCTGGCAGGCAGAGCCCCGAAGGCCTGGAGACAGAGATGCTGAAACCGACGGATCGATAATTTGAGAGGTAGGTGCTGAAAGGCGGCGGGTAACTGGGAAACACTATTATCACCGGTTAAGCATCCAGATTAGAACCGGGGACGTGCGGAGGGGACTTGGATGGGGAGTGAGAAAAGGGAAGCTAAGCTTCATAATCCAAACCGGCTCCAAGCCTTGTAGATTCTTAGTGTGCAGTTCCTGCCTCAAACTTTCAGAGCTTGGAGAGGAATAACGCGCTTCCCTTTCCCAAACTTGAGTCCCATCCTCCCCATATACCCCTCGATTGGTCCCCTAAGAGGGATGATTCCCTGAAGATGGGTTGAATACTGGAAAGGAAATCGTAGCACAAAAAGAGCTGGCAGTAATAGTACCAACCTCATCGAGAGTTTGTGAGACTTTAAAGCACTTGGAACAGTACATAGTTTGCAGTCAAGTGTTGGCTGCTATTATCATCGTCACCATTATCGCTATTCTCCTGGCCTGTTCTCTGCACAGACCTCATGCAAGTGGATTCAGAAGAGGTGGGTTGGAAGACTGCCTCTCTCATTAATTGGCAGAACAACTCTCTAGCATATTTTCTATATATTAGGTGAGCGTACAAACATGAGCTCTGTTTTCAAGGTTTATTTACTGTGAGGGTCAAATGAGACATGATGAGAGGATAGCACTTTGTAAACTTAAAGTGCTATATACAAATTACTGCCTTAGAATAATAAATGCTAGGACGGGCGCAGTGGCTCACACTTGTGCTCACGGCACTTTGAGAGGCAGAGGCGGGAGGGTTGTTTGAGCCCAGGAGTTCAGGACTAGCCTAGGCAACCATCTCTACAAAAAATTAGTGGGGCGTGGAGGCTTGTGCCTGTAGTCCCAGCTATAGGCTGAGGTGGAAGGATTGCCTGAGCCCAGATGGCCCAGGCTGTCTGTGGTGAGCTGTGATTGTGCCACTGCACTCCAGCCTGGGTAATAGAGTGAGACTTGGACTCATAAATAAAAGTTTTAAAAAATTATAAATATTGTCTTTCTGGGTTAAAACTGAATCCCTGAGGATGAAGGAAAGTGCCAGAAACAGAACTCCCTGTATGCCAGTATTTCTCCTGATTATCTTCAGAATACCTTCTGTAACCCTTGACTGATAAGTATAGGAAGGAGGGAAAATGCATCCTTGCTTGACTAATGATAGGGAAGCACTGTTCTTTACTTTCTTACTGTTAAAACCTAAGTGACTATGTTATAAAAATGTCATTGGGATAGCCCTCTTGTACAAATATCTTGGTCTGAATTTCCTGCTAACCTGGCACCTATTTCTGAAGCTTCAAGATGACTTAAGTTGGTAGATTTGGGGGAGAGGCCTGGCCCCAACATGGTTGGTTTAGCTTTCAGAATTTTTTTTCCTGTCGTACACATTTTGTACATCTCTTACTCTTCCTGTATTCAGGTGGCCCTGATTCGGCTCTTCTAGGGACTCTGAAGATGGGGACCCAAGTGGTTATGAGATTCTGTAACTCCTTGCTGCCAGCAGAACCCTCTGTAAGTTTTTGGTGTACTGTTGAGAGAAGTGTGATGACATTACTGGAGTTTCAGGACATTGCCACAACTGGAGGGTTTTTCCACCTAAACTCTGGTCCAGACCAGGATTGTTATATGTCTGCTTTATTTATTTATTTATTTTTGCTTCTCCTTCTTACGGAATTCTAACTCTCTTGGGCTTTGATTCTTCATCTCTTTCTGTAATTAATAAAATCAGACAGTTTGTGAACAATTCTAGCAATTAATCAGAACATCTGCATTGTTTAAAAGATTAAAGTTTTTGTTATAGCAATAATGTATTTTAATTAAAGAGCACTTGAGAAATATTGCAAACTATAATTTTGAAAAACCAACCCATAATTCTCCTATTGAAGCAACCACTGTAAATATTCTAGAATATATTTTTTGTAGTAATTTTTTCTATACATGAGATCATATTATGTGTGTACATTTTTTGACTTGCTTTCAATTAATTTTTTCAACATGAAATTGTTAAATGATTGTAATAATGTGAGTATATGTATTTGGTAAACATTATAATGATTGCAATTTTCTTGACCAGTTCTCTATTGTTGGACTTTCAGGTTTTCCCACCCCTGCTCCCCGCATTGTAAATAATTAATTTATTTCCTCATTTAAGACATGTCAAAGAATGTAAATAATAAGTTACCTCGTAAAAGAAGAATTGTGGTGTCAGATTTTGTACACATTCTTCAGAAGGCAGCTGGACATCAGTTGGGAGATAGAAGGGTCCTTGGTAGAAATCTGGCTACCTTTTGCAGTGAGACCCTGGGTCCCACAGAAAGATGATTTCATGAAGGCATAATTAGTGATGTGACGCCCTGGCATGTGGTTATCTGCAACCTAGGGACATGGGGGCCGTTTCATAGTGTTTTTATAGTAGAGAAACTCAAGGGTCACTTCCAAAATATCCACCAGATGTCGCTAGTCTTAATCTGATTTTCCCCACAGGATAGCTGGCAGATAACTTTTGAAATGTGAATTTAAAAAAATTCATGTAGCATATATTTGCATCTCTGCTTTGGTATGGTTTATATTAAGCACTAGCATCTGGTGATTACTTTGGCAACATCCTACTTCAGTCTCTCACCATTCTGTCTTTTTCCCTTTTTCTACCTACTCAGTCTGTCACACTCACCCAGTACACTCCGTCCTCCCATTCTAATATTGGGTTCTGTTTTACTAGTCTTCCTTTTACTGTTCTTTCCTCCAATCTTGTTTCTTGCCTCTGTGTTTTTTGTGTATTTATGTATAACTGTCAGTTCTTCCAGCTTTTACTAAAAGAATAGGACCTAGCATATAATGATATATAATAGGTGCTCAACACATATTTAATGGATGTTTAATGAAAGAATACATGAATGAAGGAGAGGAAAATACAGAAGGATAGCAAAAATTATATTTGGCTTGAGAATATGGCAAAAGAGACACAAGTTCACATTCCTAAATTACCTACGATTTAGTGCTATAATACAGTACATGGTAGACCTTTGAGGTTTTTGTGTTTTTTTTTGAGTTGGAGTCTCACTCTGTTGCCCAGACTGGAGTGCAGTGGCACACTCCCGGCCACCGCAACCTCGACCTGCTGGGCTCCGGCGATCCTTCCACCTAAGCTTTCCAAGTAGCTGGAACTACAGGCGTGCGCTACCATGCCCAACTAATTTTTTGATTTATTGTAGAGATGAGGTCTCGCCAAGTTGCCCAGGTGGGTCTCAAACCTGCGGGCTCAGATGATCCACTCACCTAGCCTCCCAAAGCTCGGGATTACAGGCTGAGCCACCAAGCCTGGCACCTTTGAGTTTTTTTTTTTTTAGTTGGAGTCTCACTCCGTCGCCCAGATTGGAGTGCAGTGGCCGCTCCCGGCCACCGCAGCCTCTACCCGCTGGGCTCTGGCGATCCTTCCACCTCAGCCTTCCGAGTAGCCGGAATTACAGGTGTGCGCTACCACACCCAGCTGATTTTTCATTTATTGTAGAGATGAGGTCTTGCTGCCCAGGTGGGTCTCGAACCCGCGGGCTCAGGCAATCCACTCGCCTCAGCCTCCCAAAGGCGCGGGATGACAGGCTGAGCCACCAATCCCGGCTCACCTTTGAGTTTTAAAGAGAGAAAAATGTATTCATTCATTCAGCCAGTATTTATTAAGTGTCTACTGTGTGCCAGGCAATATTCTTGGTTTTGGGTATAAACCAGTAATAAAAAATACAAATTCTCTACATTCGTGGAGCTTTTCTGGGCAGGAAAAAGCTGATAAACAATTAAACAAGTAAATATAAAATACACAAGATGATGATGAATACGACGAAGAAAACTAAAAATAAATCAGGCAAAGAGGTCTAGGAGTGAAGGGGTCTTGTCATTTGAGTGCTTAGAAAAGGCCAAAGGTATAAAGTGACATTTGGCTAGAGACTGGAAGCAGGAGTAAGAGTCATGGTTCTGTGTGAGATGAGTGTTTTAGACAGATCAGAATGAACAGTAGCAGAGGAGCGTCATAGAATAAGTGAAACTTGAACAGGCCTTGTGACGACTTGGGCAACAGCAGGTTTGAGGGTGAGGCATTCTCAGCAGAGGGACAGTCATGACAGCACAGAGACGAAAATGAGCCTAGCTAATCTGTGACAAGTGAGAAGTTTCTTAACCTGAACTGAGGTGATTTGCGGGGGAAGGCCTTAAGAGCTGAACTCAAGTAGTTTGTATCTCACAGGGAGTGTTTGACGACGTTTCAGCAGTAGAGTAGCCAGAGGAATGTATTGTCCAAGGAAGATTAAGATGAGTGTAGACTGGCAGGTGGAAAAATATTGAGAGAGAGCAGTTTCGGAGCCAGGGCCTGTTTGGGACCTTTGCTGGTATGCATGGACCCTTTCGGTTATGTCTGTGCTGATGTCTCTGAAGGATAATGTAATAGAAGGTGTAAACATACCTTCAAGGAACTTGGCTAACGCAAGAAAACAGAAAAAAAAAAGGTTAAGACATTATTTCAAGTCAGGCTTGGTGGCTCAGCCTGTAATCCTGCGCTTTGGGAGACTGAGGTGAGTGGATTACCTGAGCCTGCGGGTTCAAGACCTGCCTGGGCAACTTGGCGAGACCTCATCTCTGC